CCCCCGCAGCGACCCTGTCGCACCGTCAGACCGAGCCCATCCTCCGCTTGGATCCTGCAGGTCTTCGCTTTGTGTGTTAAATGGGCGCCGACCCCCAGCCCCAAGCCTTTCCCTAGTATCGCACATCACACGTCTGTAAGTGAGTGTTCATCGTCTCCCCGAGGTGGGGTTACTCCTCTCTCCCGCCATCACCCCACTACCTGCCTCCTAGTATCCCTCCCTGAAATTCGTTCTCGCCCGAGGGCTTCTTACATTCTCTGTCTCCTCTGCCTGGGATGCTCCTCCCTCAGGCATTTCCATGCCACTCACTTCATTCAGGCTCCTGTCACTGCCTCAGACAGACCTCCCCGCCTCCCTATCTACAACAGCACACCCAGGTCCCATTCCCTCCCCACGCGTCACTCCCTGTCTTTCATGTTTATTCCCTCCCTCCTCCCACCCTCCAGTGTCAGTGGTATGAGCATGGGCACCCTGTCCATTGCTATTCACATAATGGAACACATTGAATATTCCATGAATGAATAAACAGACTTATTAAAGCTTTCTGAGTCGTAAGTTCTTTCAGGGTTCTTCTAAAGGGCATAATTTCAGGGCTAAAAATAATATTGAAATTGTACTGATGGTTGTCAGAATGATTCAGGGAATTGTAAACAGGGGAGTTATGAGGTTTTTATAGAAAAAAGCCATTCATCCATTCACAAAATTAGTATTTACTGGGCACTTGATTAAACAATGAGAGGTCAGGGAAGATATCCCTGAAGAAGATATTGAAATAAGATCTGAAGGAAAAGTAGGAATTAAGATGAGAGGGTGATTCAGAAGTTGAAAGGTTACACCTGTGATCACACATATTCTTAAATATAATTGTTCCCTTTTGAAAACAGGATTTGTAAGGCTTAGCAATAAGCTAATGCTCTACATAAACTTTTGTTAGTAAATGCACATGTGAAAAGCATATTATTCCCTTATTTTAAACACAGGTTTTTCAGTTTCCTGCTATTAAAAACAGATATTTTAGCCCTAGCTGGTTTGGCTCAGTGGATAGAGCGTCAGCATGGTGACTGAAGGGTCCCTGGTTCGATTCCGGTTGAGGGCATATACCTGGGTTACAGGCTCGATCCCCAGTAGGGGGCATGGAGGAGGCAGCCAATCAATGATTCTCTCGCATCATTGATGTTTCTATTTCTCCCTCTCCCTTCCTCTCTGAAATCAATAAAAAAATATATTTTAAAAAATAGATTTTAAAGTAGACTTATTAAAAAAGATCTATTTTAAAAATAACTTTATTTTGAAAATGAAGCTCCACGGCAAAGCACAGCTCTTGAAAGGGGAAGTGACCGTCCTGACTTTTTTTTATGATGAAATGTTTAGATGCAGAGACGCGGGACACCGAAGGCCCCAGCATCCAGATTCATTGAGGGGTAACATCTGCCGTATTTGCTCCATCTTGAGTTTTGGGAGAAAAAAACCTTTGGTATCCTTCTCTGCTGCTGTTTGATTAATTTCACCATTTAATTGCAAACTATAAGTATTTTCCAGAGATTTTTTGTTGTTAATCCTCACCTGAGGATATTTTTTCCATTGATCCCTAGAGTGAGTGGAAGGGAGGGAGGGAGGAACATGGATGTGCAATGTGAGAAAGACACATCAATTGACTGCTTGCCGCACGCACCAGGGTGGGGATCCTGCAATCTAGGTTTGTGCCCTTGACCGGAATCAAACCCAAGACCCCTTGGTCCATGGGCCAACGCGCTAATCACTGAGCAAAACTGGTCAGGGCTGTTCAGAGACTTTCTTGGCATTTCATCTCATCTCCATATTAACTTGGAGAAACTGATCTTTACTCTCACTTTCCCAAATCACTGGTTCATCTTCTACTCTGTTTCTCCCTTTAGGACTTGATTTTCTTTGAGTAAATCTCTATGTCCAGAGGAAAATGAAGATCCTTTGCTGCTGCTGTTAGCTGCGGGCAGGCAGCTTTAGCCAGGCGAGCTTTCCCTGGATTGTTGCTTCTAAGCAATTCTTTACAGGCCCGAGATCTTCAGTTTTCAGAACTTTAATGTCACTTTTTTTAGTTTCAGGGCACACCAGTTTCCCTGTTACAGAACCATCGCTGCTGTTAGCTGCGGGCGGGCAGTTTTAGCCAGGCGAGCTTTCCCTGGATCGTTGCTTCTAAGCAATTCTTTACAGTCCTGAGATCTTCAGTTTTCAGTTTCAGGGCACACCAGTTTCCCTGTTACAGAACCATTTATTGTCTTAGAAACCTTATGAGTAAATAGGTTTTGTATTTTCATTCTGTTTTGGTAATGGAGTCAAATGTCATGAAGTGTTTGCCTAAAGACCTCGCCTTTTGCCCAGCCGGGTGTGGCTCAGCCGTTGGATATTCACCCAGGAATCAAGAGGTCACCGGTTTGACCCTAACTGGTTTGGCTCAGTGGATAGAGCGTCGGCCTGCGGACTGAAGGGTCCCAGGTTCAATTCCGGTCAAGGGCATGTACCTTGGTTGCGGGCACATCCCCACTAGGGAGTGTGCAGGAGGCAGCTGATCAATGTTTCTCACTCATTGATGTTTCTAACTCTCTATTCCTCTCCCTTCTTCTCTGTAGAAAATCAATAAAATATATATATTTTAAAAAGTGGTCACCGGTGGATTCCTGGTCAGAGCATGTGCCCAGGTTACCCCGGGCTGCGGGCTTAATCCCCAGTAGGGGGTGTGCAGAAGGCAGCCAATGATGATTCTCTCATCATTGATGTTTCTATCTCTCCCTCTCCCTTCCTCTCTAAAATCAATAAAAAATATTTTTTTAAAAAGGACCTCACCCTTTAAGTGCCCAGAGTGAAACTAGAAGTAGAGATCTAGAGTAATCTAGTATTATAAGAAATAGTACCCTTGTCATTGTTGAAAAGGAATAGTGCTATGTTATGCTTCAATTTACTTTTAAATTGCATGGCTAGGAGACACACCCCCAGTACCTGTGAAGACCATGCTGCAGAGGCCAACCCAAATCAGGTGTGTTGGGGGGAGAGAAAGCTGTGGTACCTACTGGGCGGAGCACAGGTGCCTTGGGAATTCCACACTTAGCTCTAGAGCAGCGGTTCTCAACCTGTGGGTCGAGACCCCTTTGGTGGTCGAACAACCCTTTCACAGGGGTCGCCTAAGACCATTCTGCATATCAGATATTTACATTACAATTCATAGCAGTAGCAACATTACAGTTATGAAGTAGCAACGAAAATAATTTTATGGTTGGGTCACAACATGAGGAACTGTATTTAAAGGGCCAGAAGGGTGAGAACCACTGCTCTAGAGGGCGAGCCCCACTGGGATGGGTAGTTCGGGAAAGTACCTAGGAGTCATTTCTCTTAGATGCACTGCTCTCCCAACAAGGGCAGAGCTGACCAATACTATCGAATGGGCCAGAGGGACTCCTGACCAAACAGGTTCCGCCAGCTTTGGAGGCAGCTGTTCCCAGCTCAGCACAGAGAAGGGGTCGCCTTGATGCCGAGCACCTACAGCGCACCAAGCTGTGTCCTGAGCTCCCCGCACACGGACTCTGACACTTCACAGACATCGGAGCCTCTAACTGACCGGGGACGAGACGCATGTTCAAGCCAGGCTCCCAGAGCCGAGTGGGGAGCCAAGGCTCTTCACACAGGCTGACCCCTAAGCTTGTGCTTCTCTTACTCAGGTTTCCCCACGAGTCACTTCTATTGAAACGAAGTCATTCGTGACCTTCCCAGGAAGCTGTCCACCCCAGTGGCTTCTCCGGAAAGGCTGGCTCTTCTTGCAAGGCCTTCCCCCGGCACCTTTTTTTTGGCCACCTGTCTCTCTACCTTCTCTATTGACCAGACTGTAAAGAAGCAGGAAATGTCACTCCAAGACGGACTGAACTGGCCAGGGCACGGACTGGTATTTGTAAGCAGCCAGTGGCCAGCAGCTTTTCAGAGTTATCCCTTAGTGGGCAATGTGTTAAATTGGCTTTCTTTCTTTATGCTCACATTTTTAAAAGTCCACACAAACAAAACAAAACAGCTCAATAAAAAAGATTAGTTACCTGCCAACCTTTATTCAGGAAGTGAGAGTTACTCTCAAACAGTGCTTCAAACGGCGAGGCACCCCAGGCTTTTGTTCCGCCGTGTTCGGGCACTGCCCGAGTCCTGCACTCCCACGTAGGCAGCCTGTTTATTAAGGTGTCATTCTGGTTGGCACAAAATGATGGTCACATCTCAGCCGGCTTTATTTTTACTTGAGCAGTGGCCAGAGAACGCAGGTACTTCATCAATCAGGCGGCGTGCTGGGGTCCTAGGCCAAGGTCTGAGTGCTGTGCTGTCCGTGGTCAAGCCCCCCCTGGGGTCTGGGTTACATGCACGAAAGCCTTCGAGATCCCCCACCCGTCCCCAGTCAGGCAGCAAACAGTCTGCACCACTAATGACAGAATGTCCTCCCCTTCCTCCAGAATCTTCTGAGGAGGATGAAAACAGAAACTAAATCCAGACGAGGATGCTGGAAAGAGATACTGATACACAAAGGCAAAACCATGAGGCAGGGGGGAAGCGAAATGAGAGGTAAAGACAGGAGGTTAAACCATGCGGTCACAGCCAACTGAGAAAGCTGCTAAGAGACACACCGGATAAAAACAAAACCCACCCAGCTCCCTTCCTCCACAAGGTATTGTAATGCAGCAAACCTGTGACACTCCTCTTGTAGTAAGTACTGTTAGTATTCAGTACTTTAACAGTCATGGTGCATTCATATGCTTTTGCATAAATCAAAAAGAAACATAGCAATCAACCTACTGGCAAAATCAGGATGAAAAAGTCCAATTTTTCCACAAAATACAGAAAGTTTCAGATTATTAAGTGGACAATAAATGTTTGTAGCCCTGTATAGAGCTTTGGTTGCCAAATGAAAAACAAAAAATAATCCTGACACAGGATGTTCCAAAAGCCTAATTCATGAAAAAGAGACAATTTATTCTATGTTTAATAAAATGTTTATTAAGGTGGTAACACAAGATAAATCATGCAGGAGCTCAGTAAAAACAAAAAATTAATATAAGGAATGGTAATTGGTGCTGCCAATTTAAAAATATGTCAATCATTTTACTACCCAAAGTGATTTGAAGAAGTTGGAATCTGAGCATGGACATGGTTGCAGCAATCTTGCGGACTGTAAACTAAAGTGATAGGTGACTCCTTGTGTTCTAGTCCTCAGAGGAGTCGAGTCATAGATCCAAAATCATCAGCAATGTCCCTCGCATCCTGCACTCAGATGGCAGCCCAGAACCCCTGCCCACCGAGTCCTTCGACACCCAGGGGACAGTCTCAAACCGACACTTCTTAGCAGGGGAGGGGAGCAGGCACCTTTGGTGACTCGCAAATGAGACTCCGTCCACATTCAGAATCTTAACATCTGTGGTGATGAAAACCATAGACTTGCATGTCATCCTTACCAGCCTTAAATGTAGTGTTGTGATGTCCAAGGGAGGGTTTTCATATCCGGTGGAAGAAATTTGAACAGATACACCAAATTGAACATAGTGTCTCAGATTTCAAACAAATATGACTCATCTTTTGGCAAAAAATAAATATAGTGGAATGCAAGTTTGATAGATGAAAGAATATATAATCTACCAACTGTCAAGGAGTACGATTTCATTGCAGACACAAAGAATCAAAAGTTTCAAAGAATTTTTTTAAAAAAAGAAGTTTGCACTATTTCTCACAAAATCTTCACTTTTGGAACTACCCCAATAGAAGCTACACACTGAATTTATTAATACAGCATTAAGTTTCTTTGTGTAAAAAAATCTTTGTACAGAGTAATAAAAAAAGATAAGGCAAGATGCATTAAACAGAAACCTTCTGGTTCTTTTCCTCTGGTTCTTCCAGAGCCACTGATGACTATCTGCCATGAGAGTGAAGTTTCTGATTTTCCGTGCGAGCATCTTGTGCCTTTGCTGTGGTGAGGATTCTGTCCGAGCCCCTGAAGGACAGGTGCTGGTGCTGGTCTGTGGCACTTACGCTGGCAGACTGAGCTTCTTTCCCTTGAGCACTGGATTGAGAGAGGAAACAAGATTACTGGCACTGACATGCTTGCGCTTTCCTTCCTCCCCTTCCCAGAGGTCAAGATACCACATAATCAGGTTCAAGGAAATAAGCTTTTGGCAACCAACAGGCATTGGATTTTGGTGTCAATGAACAAAGCCCGCTCAACTATGAAAATGTCATGCACACATATACTGGAATTTTCATGTACCTGGATGCCATAGCAATGACAGTTAAGAAATACAAACTTGACTGAAATTGTTGCTACATTCACAGCAGATGTTATCATGACTTTCTTCCCTAATCAACACATATTAAGATGTAACTGTCACTATGCCTATAAAATTTGGACGTTAAAAAAGGGATAAGCCTGGCCGGTGTGGTTCAGTGGTTGAAGTCAAGCCAGGAAACTGAACTCACGGTTTGATCCCTGAACAAGATACATGCCCGGGTTGAGTACTAATCCCCAGTACGGGGGGCCTGCCAGAGGCAGCCAATCGATTGGTCTCTCTCATTGATGTTTCTCTCTCTCTCTCCTCTTCCCTTCATCTCTCTCTAAAATCAATAAAAACATATTTAACAAAAAAGGGGGGATAAGATACATATGCCCTGGTATCAGCAATAACAACACCATTAGGAATTTACTGTATAGTAACAGTTCTTAGCCTGGGGTCTACAGCTGGGTTCAGAGGCTCCTGAACCCCCTAAAACTATATGCATAAATATGCATACGCATTTTTTTCCTGAGCAAGGACCATAGCTTTCACCTGAGTTTTGTGACGTTCACATTCCTTCATTCACATAAATGCAAAAATGTACATATATAAGGATGCTGACTTAAGCACTGGATTTTAATAGCAGCAAAATAGCAGTGATAGTGTGAATATCCATGAACTGGCTGAGTAAGGAAATTATGGTAATACACAATGTTGAAAATCACATAGATTCTATTTACTGACATGAACAACTGTGAATGGGGAAAGGGCAGATTAGATGTAGTTAACCATGTATCTGTGTATACGCACAGAGAGATCTGGAATTCCATTTACTGAAACAGTAACAAAGATCTCTGAGTGGTAGGATTTCAGTCGACTGTTTTCAGAATTATTAGTTCTGACTGAATCTTTGACAATGAAAATATGCCATTGTAAAAAATACAGCTACAGCCAAAAGAAGACAGACTCAAAACCGGATCCAGAATCGAACTGGACAGTCCGTTAAATGCTTTTCCGCAGCCAGTTCTGCTCATCAAGCTAGTACCAGAGCAAAAGCGTGCGGCTCGGGGGCCCTGAAGGGACAGGGGGCCCAGCGGCGCACCTTTTGTGATGTACAAGTAGAAGAAGTCGCAGTAGAGGATGGTCTGGACAACGCCGGCCACCACAGCGATGAGGTCAAAGAAGCCCTCAAAGTAGAAGCGCCAGATCCAGTTGACGAGATAGAGCGCCCGGTAGAGGCCCAGGAAGAACAGGTAGTGGGTGGTGATGGTCTCCGCCTCCCCGGTCTTGCTGATCATGAAGAGCTGCGGCAGGATGGCCACGGACTCCAGGTAGATGGAGAAGGTCCACAGAATCTGCGAGGGAAAGCACAGGCTCTCAGCACCAGCGCCCGCCACGGGGTCACAGGAAACACCTGGCTTCCCTGTGAAGAGCACAGGAAGCGGGGAGTCTGGCGCCTGAGCCCAGGACAGAGCAGCTGAGCAATTTCCTAAGTCACAGACCCTCCCAATGACAAGCTGGGTCACCCTGGACACCTCTACCTCTTTGAATGTTCATTACCTCGTCTCCAGCGTCGCATTCTTCCCTGTACAAATCTCCGTGAATCATCACAGAGGATGTTTCTCCTGGGTAAGCTTGTCCCAGTCTGAATCTAGGGTCCCGAGTCAACCCTGCTTTCTGCCATTCTGCCAGGGTGGACCACACTGATAACCAGGCCCCTTCCATTCCCTCACTGCCAATGTTCCTCCCCAACTGGTCTCCTTTCCAGACTATCCAACGAGTCTATTTTTCTTAATTTTTAGGCTTTTTGGTGGGGTTACACCAAAGGAGGAAAGAAATTGGAGTTGTTATTATGCAAACTCTGCCCAACATGGTACTTTATTCATGCTGACGGCAGGAGGGCTCGGTAGCAGTCCTTGGAGTGATCACAAGTCCAGGCCTCCAGCACCCACCAGAGAACCAGGAGCAGCGCAGTAACTGAACCCCAGGTGCTGAGGGAAGGACTCGGCACTGAGGGGCAGCCACCCCTCACAGTGCCAGGGCACCATGCACACCACTTCTCCTAAAGCTGAGGAGCATAGCAGCAGTGCTGCTTAGGGGTCACAGACAGAATCGACGTGTACATTAAGGGGAAACCAAGCTGGCTAGAGCGGGGAGAAGATCCTGTTCAGCAAACACGCAGACAGGCAGAGCACCGTGTTTGGTACCACAGCAGCCGAGTTCATGTTCTAAAGGGGTCAGGCAATAACCTGTCAGCTGACACCCAACTACCTGGGGCTTAACTTCTGCCCACCATTTATGTACACCAAATAGTTTCTGTTGCACCAGAAGCTTGCCAAACTGAAAAAGCACACCAAAACAAAGCAGCCCCACATTATCTACAAACAGGCCTATTTCCCTCGGGAGCCAGACGTGTGCACTAAATAACCTCTTAACTAACCTCAAGAGGAGAGAAATCATGATTGACTAGAAACGAGAGTCCTCCCACAGGGACCACCAGAAACTCCACTCGGAAGGTATCATGGTTTCCGTCGTAAGTTGCCTTAAACTTCATGTAGATCAGGTACACTGTGGCGTAGGAGCAGGCAATGTAGATGACCTAAAGCAAAAGAAAAACACCAGGTCATCAATGCTTCCAACTCCCTTGGTTTTCTACGTCATTCTCTCTCTCTCTCTCTCTCTCTCTCTCTCTCTCTCTCACACACACACACACACACACACACACACACACACACACACACGAGAGGCAGGGTGCATGAAATTCGTCCATGGTGGGGGGCGTGTCCCTCAGCCCAGCCTGCGCCCTCAGGGGATGCCGGCAGACCGACATCCCTCGCAATCCGGGATGCTGCATGCACCAGTGACCATACTTTTCATACAGGTGAAAGGCATCTTGCTGTTGTATGGGCAGCTACACTTTTTTGCCCTGATTATAAAAAGTAGTACATAACATGATCCTTCTGAGGCAGCAGTACCATTTTCCCCGTCTTATGGGTGGAAAAACTGAAGCAGAGAGAAGTTTAAGTAATTGGCTTTGTCACAGTTATGTGTCAGAATCAGGGCTGACCACAAAATGTGCAAGTCCGAGTCCATGCATGTCATTGCTGCATCATCCTGTTTTTTCAGTGTTAGAGTAGCCTTGCCAGGTTTT